GGGGGGGGGGGCTGGCGTGGATAATTGAGACAGGATGTGCCTAAAGTGACCAGTAACTGCCCTTGTTTGACTGATATAGTAGTTTGCTGACATGTCGATTTAATATTGGGCCCGATGTTTGACATGTCATATAGACAGTCAACTCTCATTTTCAGTTTTATTGAGACATTTGTTACAGAATCAATAATATAAAGCGAGTAATGTTTGCAGCGTTTACACAGCTGGCCACCACACCTACATGCCCTAACCCTGAAAGACATTCATTCACCAATGTTTCAGCTGAAAGTTTTAGTGATCTTGTAAATGTTGTTTCAGGAGATTTTCCACACTGAATAAAATTCTCGAGGTATTAAAAATGTCACATTTAAACATGTTGATAATTACTCACAGAATAACAACTACTGTTGACGTCAGTGTGAAAAACTGTTGCTCTACAAAAAGGAATTCATGTGAGCAGCGTTGTTGTGACATCAGGAGGGGACTTTCAAGTAAATCATCCTTGCTTTGTCTGGTGGATGACTTTTCATGTGATTCAGCATATGAATATGCTTCCTGTTGGGGAAGTAGTTGTTGCCACCAGGCAGCCAGTTGAATCAGTGAGAAAGCCATGCTCTACTTCCATCCCGGTTTTGTCAGCATGGACGGGCTTACTGCTCTGAGGCACCCTGAGATCTGCATCTTATCTTAGTCATCTCAGGCTGAGGGCTCCTGTCAGCTATCTGACCAGTGACAAGACTGGCCGAGTCAGAGGACTGAATCTGAAATCCTCCCAGGGGGAATTCCTTCTTTTACCATAAACATTCCCAAACCTAAAAACTATCTTCCGGGAGAGATGATGGGAGTATTTTTATGTTGCATGATCAGTCAGAGAAAGAATGTTGTTTTTCCTTGGACCTCATGGTGACCCGGAGAGTAAATCAGCTTGAGCCTGCCAGTCAGGGGTCGGGGTCCTCTGGGGCCCGGGGCCGCAACTTAGAAGAGTTCCTTATCTCTGGCTGTAAGAGCCTAATGATGTAGTGGGAATGTTGTGCTTCTGTCCATCTTTAAAACCCTAAACCACCTTTGGCAGTGTTAGTCTTTAATCTTCAGCCAGGAGCCGCCCACCCCACAACAAACATGACGTCACCCAACCCACAGGGCAAATGTGTGTTTGTGTGTTTGGTAAGTGTGTGTGCTCCTGTGTGTGTGTGTGTGTGTGTGTGTGTGTGTTCAGAGGTCCTTGTGTGGTGTGCCATTATTCACTGATTCACAGCAAACACAGATGTTCATATTTTCTCTCAACAAGAAAAATAATTGGCTCACACTTGGATGAAAAAGGCTTTCATCTGAAGAAAATAGCATGTCTCCCCTCGTTCCCTTTTTTAGAGTATGATTTTTTTATTGCTTCACCCCCTCTCCTTCTTCAGCTCCCCTTTTCTAGCTCTGTATTTTTTTATTTCTCTCATCTACACTAACAGCAGCAGCACCAGTTTAGTGTGCAGGCTCTTAGGCATGGTCACAAACATAATTTATAACAGAGACATTTAAGACTGAAATCAATTTATTTCACTGGAATCGCCGCAAATTAGTGGATTTACTAACGGAGGTGAAGTAACATGTTAAACTTTGGTAAACTTTGATCTTTGAATTCACTCTGTGGGCCACTTGCAAAGCATCTTGACAATGCTGACCTTTGAAGGAACGGAGAACCGTAAAGTCCAAAAAGAAGGAACCTATCATGGTGGCTTTGTGCCAACAAGGAGCGATGCCAACGGAGATTTCTTCTTTGTATCCACTTTACAATACGAGGCACAAGCAACAGTGCCGTCCTCAGTACAAGTAGATCACAGTGCTTCCAGTACCTGCTATTTTGGGAAGACAAATGAATTGTGCTGTGCCACTTTCTGGTGGCTACAGGTACAGTTCATTGGACAGTTTCATTTCAGTCTGACATTTGCATCAGTCAATCCTCCACTTCCGAAGCCACAACGCAGAGATACAGCTGTTGTTTTTTTTTTTTTTTTTTTGACAACCAAGCTTTCAGCTTCTTCAGATAAAGTATTGTCTCCCTTTTAATTGCTGGTAAAGTCTGCCTGCTGTGGTCTGGCTCCGTTTACAAAGCATTATTGATCGCCATCCGAGGCGAGGCTATTTAAACAGCTTGCGTCTCGCCTGGTTCACATTTCTCCGGCATGGTTAGATGTGTATTGCCATTAAAAATGCTCTCAGCATTCGTTGTTGTAGCATGAAAGTCGACCATTGATTAGCTTGGTCTCATTAATTCTGGTTCTTCTACAAGGTCTAGCCCTTTCAGGATGGGTGAGAACAGGGGTAAGCTGTTTGTCTAATTGAGGTCATTACTGTGTGTGAATGTGTGTCTGTGCATGTGTGTGTTTGTGTTGCAGCTCTAAATGAATGGGTATTTTAAGAAGACATTAGACAAAAACATGGAGGTCTTATGGCTTCTGGGAACCAGAGGGCAACTTTCAGCTGTGCTTTGTATTCTTCCCTGCATTCAGCTCCGGACCATCTGGAGATTTAAATCAATTAGAAAGTGATTAAATGGAATTCCAGCAAGAAAAAGGACTGTATCTGTGTGTATTTATGTTACACGAGTGAGCAGCCACATGGTGATGGAAGGTGTAGTCTGTTTCACCATTGCATGTATCTTATATCTTAATTGACTTTTAAAGCAACCCAAGCTGTTAAGCAGTGAAAATGTCAATGTGGCTTGCTGATAACTTGTCTGAGGGCCATTAGTGATTAATGTCAACGGGCCCATTGGTAGTCAGTCAGTCTGGGTTTTTTACAGAGCCTGAGGCATGAATGCACGCTTCCCGTCTTCCCAATATGGTAATGGGCGCCTGGGAAAGATTCCCTCTAGCTCTGGCCTCAGACTAATACCCTACGAAGAGGTGTGCGTACTGTTTCTTCGAATTCCAAGTCATGACAGGCTGGGTTTCCCCCAACTTCCTACAGCAGTACACTCACGTCTCTTACTGTTTCTCTTCTCTGCTGCCTCTCTAATGCCTGCCCTGCTTCTCACATGAAGACTGGAACTCTTACATTCTGTTCAGTCATGCTGGAGTGTGCTTTTAAGTGGCAATCCACAGGAATCTTGTTTGTCTTTCGTCTTTTGCTGACATATCTTTGCTACTAATCGCTCACGCTGTGGTGTTTTTTCCATTGTACTTCCCAGAATCACTTGTCATTCAAACCATGTGTCCCTCACTCTTATCCTGAGAAGTTCTTTCAATGAAAATTTTAGTTTCTGTGGAGTCTTTTGGCCTGATCGGTGATGTTGATTATCACCTTATTGTTGCCACCCAGTTCATTCTTGTTTCTTTCCAAACAAAGTGCTGTTGCCGCTGCTGGGAACATGAAACGCATCACTTGCTGTGCAGTGGAGGATTTTTCCTGCAATAGACCTGCCTGACACTGTGGGTTCACAACAACAAATATAAAAGCTTTCATGAACTGGCTACAGTTTGAAGCACTATTGTGCTGCACAGTCAGTGACAGAGAGCAGAAAAACACGCATTTCTCTGAAAATGTCACAGATTATTACTCTTTATGAGATTCTTTTTAAATAGAATTATCACTCACATGAGTTTCAGAGTCATTATTCTCTATGAGTCTTCCTCTGTTAAAGTCATGTTTAATGTTTTTTTTAATGGCTCATTTCTTATGACAAAGCTGTCTCGTGTTTTCACAGTCAGAGGTGTGATTGTTTTTGACTTGAAAGGCGATAACAAGACACTGCAAGAGTGTAACACCACTCCCAGCGCCAGCGTTCGCTCAGTCACAGTCTGTCTGTCTCCCTCCTCTCATACTGACTTTCCAACATTCCTGGTGTCTTTATGCTCTTTAAACTCCACATTCTCCGCACGCTGGACCAGTAGGGCACCCAGAGGCCTGTAAAAACACGCTTAGTTCAGTGGGCTTTCTGTTCCTCAACACTTTCTGCTTGATTAATCTTTAATGGAGAATGAGTGAACTACAACCACAACGCAGAGCAGAAATAAAATTAACACCCCCCCACCCCCCCATGCCTTCAAACCTACAGCTCACTGGAGCCAGAGGATGCTCCGAAAGTGATATCAGACCTGAGTAGCTAGCATGCTGATCACGGGAGATAACATTATCTTAGCTCTTGGCTATAAAGTACAGTCTGTTTGGCCTCTGTGAATCACTACTGTAATGTTATACTCAATGTTAAATGATTAAGAACAAAGATTCTCATGTTCCTTCTCTGTTCTTTCGCAATTTGAGAATGAGGAGCTGTTTAGGTGGTTGCAACCCGCTGGAAAGGCAACAGCATAGACACAGACAGTAAATATACCTTTTATTTATTTTTGTCAGCATCCTGAAGGGAGGATGACGACATCCTTTCAACTGTTATTCACAAGCCTGAATGTATGCACCGAGCCTAAGCCCTGGAAGTTGTTCCTCCTCTTTGCCTAACCAGCCCAGGGCAATAACTGCCTAAACGAAACCTGTTTTGATGATGCATAACAGGCTGGAAGGCACTCCCCTGCACTGGGGGAGAACACCTGCATGACAGTTTCGGGTAATGAGTAAACAGAAGATAGTGCAAGCTTGGTGAAATACTGTAACTTATAATAACTGTCTGTGCCCTCGTAATTAAACAAACACATACACTGAAGAAGTTTCGCCTTACCGACCAGTTCATACATGTCCTGTATTGTAATTGTAACAATTTCTCAGAGCCCAAGGTGACATCTTTAAATTGATTCTTTGGTCCGATCAAAAGTCCAAAACCCAAATGTGTTTTTATTTTATAATATAATAATATTATTTAATAAAACAAGAAAAAGCAGCAAATTCTTACATTTGGGAAGATGGAAATAGTGACATGAATCAGTTATGAAAACAAAATAATTTTCGATTAATTGACTGATTGTCTGCAGCATGTGTTCTTATGTAGTCATTTCTACAGTTGTAAGCATTTTAGGGCCTATTGTTGCACATTTTCTCACATAATATCGAAGGCCTCATGCTGTTTTTGGCCCCGCTAGCGATATGTCTCTATGGATGGCTGTGCTGGGCTTTTGGTTAGCAGTTCCACCACTTGGGTCCCGACTGAAATATCTCAACAACTACTGAATGGATTGCCATGTTATATTGTACAGGCCCAAAAGATGAGTCCTAATGACTTTGGTGAACCTTTGACTTTAAGCATTTAGCTCAAAGTGCGGCTGTGCCTGAGTACAGCCTCTCAGAACCACTAGTATGGCTGTATAGACTCAACAAACATGTCAGCTATAGCATGTATTGTGTTTGTGAAAAGAACCCACTTTACAAACTTAATGGATTCCATTTTCAATTCGGTGGTTGAAGTATGAGCACAAGAACAGCTCAACACTGAGTAGAGTTTGTAATAATGCTCGACCTGGGACTGCCACTTTGGATCTTTGCAAGGGTTGGAAATAAACTTTGTGCCTTTGTGCCAGGTCTCCAATCACCAGAGACAGTTAGTTAGTTGACTCTCATCCCCCTGGCTTCAGTTTTGGGATGAGCCTGCAGCCTCTCTGGCAGGCTGAACCTGATAATCCCAGGGATTACAGTTAATGGTTGGAGCCCACAAAGACGTTTTACATATTAGAAATCAAACTGCAAGCGCTGTGTGTGGTGAAGTGGTTCTACAGTCTTTGTGTGTCACTGTTCCGTGAATTGTGCACACCCCATCACATTTTATAGCCGAGGACTGCAGTGGCTTCTGAACTGATCACTCCCATGAGGAGCCTAGAAATGTGAAGAACTTCCTTCAATTGATTTTAATTATTTGATATTCACTCACTATGCAAATAAATACAATTCAAAAATGTAAATGTGGTGACCATTTGCTTTACTTAAACAACCACTGAGAGGCTGTTGAGAGCCCTAAATGTCCAGATTTTGTAATGAACAATAACTAAAATGTATTTTATAGCTCATGAAACATAATTGCTCCTTAGTCACACTTGAATGCATATAACTAAAATGTCATCTATAGAAATACCACTGCATGCATACCTCATATTGTAAATAACTATAATTATTTTGCCATTACAAGAACAAATCCCCTCTGTATTCCAGTCATTCCCTTCTTCCTCTTTTCCTCTTTGCAAATGGTCTCCAGCTCTAAACTTCTTGAATAATGATGGCCTCATGCACAGTGCTGCACTTCATTGCACCCTGACTCTCTGAGTGGGTTTGGGTGACATTATGGAAACTCAGGAGGGCAGCCGGCAGTCCTGGCTGCTGGGCTGGATGTCTTGGTCCTTGAGCAGGCAAGCAGCTGTGCTCCATCCCTGGAGCTCAGCACTCCGTGAATCATAATCTTAGACTATTACGCAAAGGGGTCATAAAGTTGAAGAGGAAATGGCTGCCCATATGTTAGGACAGTGCCTTTTTCAGGAAATCAAGTTTGTACGTATTTCAGATAACTCGCAGTTTGTTCAAATCAATCAAAACCCAATGCAGTTGTATGGCACCACACGGGAAACATAAGGATGAGACATTCGCTCTTACCACACCAATGGGCCACATATCCATATATTCTTGCATATAAAATGTGCTGTCATATTGGTGATGACATTTATAGTAGCAGTCAGACAAGGCTGCTCCGTCTCTGGTGCCACTGCTATGCAGCCTCACTCAGGTGTCCATTCAATTGTCCACTGAGGGCGCCTTTGCTCACCAGTGTCCATCATTTTAGGAGTAAACGACATAACATTACTAGTATAGTTTACTGACAAGGTCAATATGGCATGTCATAGGTCAAGCTTATAGTGAAGAGCCCTCTGCTGGATCACAAGGCAAACTACTTGAAGCGGTCTGTTGCGCTGATAGACTGTACATTGAAAATTTTGAAACCGACCATTACCCTTCGAAAATGAATCCCCTTCGAACAAATTTCAAAAAAAGAGTGACAGGCCTCCCATATGTTAAATTATCTGTAAAGGAAGATGAAGAAACAAAGGAAGGAACATTTGAAGTGCAGGAGAGCATAACTTCTCTGGAGGTGGATTGTCAGTTATCATTTTCTCTGTGCTATTGATTTATCCTCAACTCTTTCCTTGTCCCTTGTCGATGTTCTCCATCTCTGATAGCCCATTAGTCAAGGCGGCTGCTGAAGCGCCGCGTTGAGGTCACCAGCAGTCAGGGGCCGTGTTAAGCAGGAGGTGGGCAGAAGTGCTGCATGAAAGCCAGCCAGCCAGCCACACTGACAGGAACACACAGGCTGTAATTACCGCGGAGAATATCTGCTCTCCTCAGTGACACAGTGAAACACACACACACACACTCACACAGACACCTCTACTCACACACAGAAGTGCAGCTTCACACTTGCGACACACAGCCATGTACCCACCGTTCTTCCCGTTTTTACATGCATACAAAACGTCCTGAGCATCTCACATGTCCACTCGCCCATAAACAATAAAACAAGCACTTTTTTAGCCCCAGAGGATACAGCTTCCCAGTCCTTCTGATCTCTTATCTCTATCAGAGGAGCCTGCACATGTGACCATGGATACAGCTATGAGCTGAGAGCCACCACACATTCCTTCACCACATCTCAGCCCCCATGCACTGTCAGCTTAATGCTGAGCACCAGGCAAAAGTGTATAATCTGCTTAAATAGCATGTCCGCTGCTGAGCGGCACTGCACACTGCTGATAGGCTGTATATGGCTTGTACTTAGTTAATGTGGCAATGGAATAATCAAAGTGATAAGTTATTAGGGAATGAACATTAACTGGACTGAATTAAAAGTCTTTTGGTACGTTGTGAAGAAAAAGGGCACTTAGGCCTTTTGATGAGCTCGCACTGACTCAGATTACAAGCCCTGTCTTAAGCCTTGCCATGCCCCGCTTCTAACAGAGGAGGATGGAGCTATTATAATAACTGACATAAAAGGATAAAATAAATGAAGTTCTAAAACTTTTTTGTTGGCAGCCATAAAAGATGACAGGAATACAAAGGAACACATATTAGAATAAAATGTAATTAATAATAGGGAGGGATGCACAAAATTGAAATTTTTACTATTATTTAATATGATCTGATATAATTTTCTGGGTCAATTTTGCCATTACATTTATATCATATCTGTCATGTTAAGTTAATTTATATACATGATGATCCACTTTTATGTTGTGTTTTTTTTTTTGTTGTAAATTGAATTTAGGAAAATAAAAAAATTAAAAAAAGACATCAGTGTGTAGAATTCAGTGGCATCTAGAGGTGAAGTTGCAGATTGCAACCATTTGAATACAGCTCAGCCTTCCAAATGTTGAGGAGAAACTACGATGGCCGTGAAACTTCTGAAAGACACAAAAGGCCCAATCTAGATCCAGTATTTGGTTTGTCTATTCTGGGTTACTGTAGAAACATGGCGGTTCAACATGGTGGACTCTGTGGAAGAGGACCCACTCCCTCTGTATTTTCAGTAGGTTCTCTGTAGGTTCATTGGCTATGAGTGACCCCTTTCACATTATCACATAATGATAAAATGATAATGATAAAGATAATGGTTTTAGCTACTTTAACTGATTGATCTCCAGTGGTTGTAAAGTGAAAGACAGATGGTTACAAATGTCTATGTGTAATGGAAACATGTAAGTGCATGTATACGTGTGTGGGCATGTGTGTGATTGAGTGGGTTAGTGTATGGAAATTCCAAGAGCTCTGACCCCTGACCTCTCCTATTGTTACTCAGCTGACCAGAGGCATAATGGGGGCTGATGAGGGGCGCTCGGATGGGAGCAGGGGCACAATAAGGCTGGAAAGCGCAGCAGCTGCTTCGACCAATAGGCAAACAGATTGGGGGAGTGAAGAGCTGAAGCGAGTAAAAGCATGGGAGGCGTGGGGGGTGCTGCCTTTAGAGCATGTTATAAGAGCTGCAAGTGTTCACTAGATTGAAAACTGGGAAAGGGGACAGAAGGAGTAGACAGAAGGAGAAGGGTACATCTGTGCTTTTCCCACCCCTACCCACCAACCCACCCTCTCAGGCTTTTTGTTGTGAGTAAGGTTTGTTGGTGGCACCCTTGGGACCTGACCCACTGTGGTCCTTGGGGATGAGAGACACAAACACCAACTGTGTCACACTTTTAAACCACAGCAGCACTCTTGTTACATGCTAAACTCTGAGCTGCATATGGCCATATAAATAATCCTGTAGGCGATTTCATGCAGTGTTTTTGTCTATTGTATTAAGCGATGGAGGAAGCATGTTTAATTGTGTGACCACAGTCTTCATTGACCTGAAGTAACATGATCTATGGCACGATGCAAAGGAAAAAGAAGTCTATTGAAATAGTAGGAAGTTATTGATCCTAAATGGAGTTACTTCAAGGGCACATGGACTTGACCAGATGTACTGGGAGCTTTCTCACTTAACTATTCAAGTGTAAGTCTGTTTTAAAATGAAAAAAAGAGAATACAAAATAACCACCAATTTAATACTGGCTTACTTTCTGGTTCTGCTTTGAGCAATCTGACCTAGACAAAACATATGATGATATTCTCCTCTGACTTTACATACATTTAAAGTCATAAGAATATTTTTAAGAATTTAAGAATATAAAGCATCCACTCCCATACACCATTTTGTGCTTTATTAAGTTACTCAGTGAAGAGGTTCCTGCACAAATGCACACAGGCCAGTGAGCCAAGGCGAAATCATTTTCCCTAATATGTGTATTCACATATATACGTATATATTATTCTGAAATGTGCCATACTGTATAAGGACTACTTTTATTTTTGGTACTTTAAGTATATTTAGTTTCTGATATATGCTCATACCATTTCGGATGACTTGTAACAGAGTACATTTACACTGTGCTATTGCTACTTTTACCTACCTAAAAGGTCTGACTTCTTCCACTGCTGGTAATGTGATTACAGTACACATAATGTTGCCCCAGCACTGTTCATGTGTTTGGAAAATCGACTTCAACAAGAGAAAAGACACAAACTAATGCACCCTGGCACTGAACCAGGCATTTGTTCTACAGCAGCAGCAGCAGCAGCAGTGAATGCCTCAGTCATCCAGTCAGACAGGAAACCCACCCAGGGAACTGTGGCTCTGTGTGTTTTCTCCCAGTCCACTCCCTCTCCTCAGTGCAACAGAACCCGATGCAGCGCCAGCTTTGATCAACCCACTTCAAACAGCCACACTGACTGGTTCTGCTGCTCCCAAAGCTAAAACTCAGTCCCTCTGGCCCTACATCTCCACGGGAGCAAAACCCTCTCAGCATCCGTCTGCAACCCATCCAAGTGTAAGGGGATACAGGGAGAGAGGCCGTCTTTCACCTCCACCCTTCACCGCCCCCCACCTGCACCTCGCTCGCACACACTCGGCATCCCATCATTTATGGATGACTTTATTTATAAACAAGATCCAATGTGCTCTCTTTTTCGCTGCTGCTGCTTTTGTGCAAGTGAAATTGCTCTTCAAGTAGTGCCATGTCTCCCTGTTGGCCTCCCCGGGGGGTTGCAAAGTGGGCTGGGGGATAGATAGCACCATGATAGGGATGTGTTTGGATGGTTATTCACTGGAGGTAGTGACGCCGATGGAGCAGAGGATGTCCTTTTCCACTCACAAGTTTTTTCTGTCATATGCCTGTGTAGCTGCCGTCGGAATATTTTCACTCCTTATTTCATATCAGACAGACAGCTGCGGACAGAGAAACTGCAGTCGGTGTTATTACAAGTTTTAATGAAAATCCTCGTGCGGGAGTATGAGATTGAAAGATGTGTAGGAGTCGAAATAAAAGATGTGATCTCTGCTGTTTTACAGGTGAAAGAGATGAATTTGAATACTGTGTGTGTGTGAGGTGATGGTAGTCTTTGAGGAAGCTGGAAGCTTTTCAGAGCAGAATTCATTGTGGCATGGCAATCACCAACACTAGAATTAGAGTGGATGTTAGATGTTGGCAGCAATCGTTTTGGCGTGTTCTCAGAGACTGTTGAAAATACTGCTGTAAAACAAATACAATACTCAGTGCAGCTTGATGTTTTTCAATTATTAGTAGTCTTGCCAAATGGAGGCACTGTTAATGAGCAGCAGGCTCAGAGAACCAAAGACATTACAGTTTTAGCCAAGCATTTTCACACCATCAGATTTAAACATAATTTAACTGAGAGTTGATTATAGCAGCTATGTGCAGGAAAATTCCTTATTTTGGCGCCACCTTTTAATAGCTTTGAGAATATCACAGTGGGAGATGGCGGTGCAAACCCAGGTTAAATCTGGTGTGTGCATAATCTGCCAGACATGTCAATGTACTTGCTTGTATGTGTTTGTTCAACTCAGTGCTTTGCCGGTTGCATTAGATTGTGGCACAAGTTTAATGTTTTTGTCAGATCACTCTGTCTTTTTTTGCTGGAGCCTTCCACATCGGCACAATGGCCTAATTCATCATATAGAAGTCTGATCATTTTAAGTTTAGGTATATGGTTATGTAGGTAAAGTTACACTATTATTATCATGACGTGCGCACACTGCAGCGATCAAATTTGGTGCTTTATTTTGGTCACAAAATCACCATTTTGCCTGTTTAGGCATGTTCATTGACCCAGGCTTCCTTTCATCTGGATGTCCCTGTAAAGCGGGCGCTGCTCCATTCCCAGGGACAGAGTCATCAAGGCCAATCTGATGAGCTTTTAAGGAGTGAAACTGGATATTTCCATCCTGCCTCCTTTCTCTGAAATCTTCTGCTTTTACATGTTCAGGTTGAGCAACCAGACAAAAACAAATAAAGCAAAAAGACTGTGTTAGTAATATCAGATCCAGCTGGGGTGCAACACTGATTGGTTTGAGCTGTAAAAGAGGTTGTGCAAAGAACAAATAATCTTCAAGTCAGCATCTGGTGCTCCTGAACTAGCTCTTGTCTGTTTTTTTTTGTAACTGTTATTTGGTGGATCTTATCCAAACAGTCTGCTGCTTTGACGAGACTCAACGGTTCTGGAGGCGCAGAGCTTGAGGAAACACAGAAACGGATAAAAACAGGTTCTACGTGTGCTCCTTTTACACAGCCAGCAGTCGTTCACAGCTACTTGACTTCCTCACACAAACAAACGCTGGGTAGTGTTTGTATTGTAACATCTAAAAACATGAACATCTCCAAGGAATTAAGAGTGTCACTTAGGGGTGCACCAATGTAGACCACACCAAATCTGAAATCATGTTTGAAAACAGGATGAGAAAACTTAAGCAGAGACATGATTGATGTTGTTTTTAATGCAAGGCAGGTGATATATAGATCGACAGGAAGTGAGCAACAAAAGAAGCATAGTTATCTTTTAAAGCAAAGCGGCACGAACCAGAGCCTTAGACAGACACAGAGATCAAAGAACAGGAGATGAAATGCATAGCTATTTCTCTGGTGGGATGAGAGTGCATGTGTCTGTGTGTGTGATTATGAAAGAGGGGCTGCGGGTTAGGAGACACTGAAAGCGGACACACTACATCACCATACCCCTGGGGCGAGCAGGAGACAGACTGTAATGCTGCTCTGTCCCCTGCCTGTGCTGTCAACGCTGTGGCCAGCCCCGCTTTTCAACCTGCGTTTGGACGACAGACACAGGCATTACCTCCTTGGCAGCGGAGCTCAGAGCAGATCAGTGGAAGGTGCTCAACGCCCTTCAAAGGCTGCACTTCCTCCGGAGGGAAAACGCAGGGGCTTTGATCAATATCCCCTGTGTGAAGGCTGCAGACATGGAAGGTTAATGGCCATTTAACCCAGTGTCACCTCCACTGTCCTGGCTGTGTGCTAATGCCTTTGAAAACTTGACACAGCCATCTCTATTACAGATCAACAGATTTATCTGTGTGTGTGTGTGTGTGTGAGAGAGAGAGATATATCCAATTGTATAGCTATAGGTCAAACTGCATGAGCAAAGATATAAGACTGATGATATAAACCCCGGTCCAGAGTGCAGGCCAGCTGAGGCTTCATTACAGGCGTTTTAATGATTTTTCACTCATAGATTCACTGTCTCAAGGCTGTGCCAAATAGCGCGTGTTTAAATCAAAGTTCTGTTTGTGTCATTTATTTATATATTTACATATTGCGCATATATTCCATGTGATGGTGTAATCTGAAAGTTGGAATTGCAATATTACCTTTCAGGTTTAACATGTCAGACATCCAGTATAGTGCCTATACCTATATATCACTGGTAGACGAAGTTAGATCACAAGAGAAGTCAATCTTTACTCTACTGCCCACCCATATCTCTCTGTTTGCTACTTGGTAGAACAATGCACATTGGAAACACATTTCTTTGCCTCAGAAGAAATAATGAATGACTGGAAAAAGGCTGGATATGAACAAGAGTGATAAGTTCACATTTTGAAGAAGATGAGTGTATAGTGAATAAAATATAAAAACCTGTATTACTCCACTGAAGCCAAGAAGTCCATCTTTGTAATCATCAAGTGATGGATACATTTTCTTCTGATACACTTCTGTATCAAGTGTTTGATATACTCTCCTTCCTCTCCTCATTTGTCCTTTGCATTGCACATTGTACTGTTTGCCCATGATTGCACTTATGCCTTATGGAACTGTACTAAACAAACACCACCCTTATAAAATTACAATATGTTGTTTTTAGAATTGTCTGTATGACTGAAACAGTCTAGATATAATGTGATCTAATTAGGTTCCAATTAGTGAGCTTTTGCTTTAGGTGGTGCTGGGTGAATTTTATTACCTTCAGACAGAGTCGGGCTCGCTGTTTCCCCTTGTGTCTAGTCTTTGCCAAGCTAACAGCAGCTGCCTCTAACTCTGGGTAAGAAAGCAAACAAGCGTATTTTCCCAAAATGTTGAACTGTTATTTTAAACTGCATCACAATGCAACTGTAACACTGGCAACCTTAATCTTCACTGTAAATAGATTATACACCTCAAGTGCCCAGTAACTGATTTTCATATCATATGGAAGTGATAGGGAACAAATGGCTCCCCGAAACAGTATGAAAATCATAGTATAATCCAAGTATGCATTGTATGGAGCTAAAATGTGCAAACACACTGGTATGGTGAGTGGGTCCCCACTTTTCCAGGTAGATTGGAGTGTGAGTTCAAAAATTTTCCAAGGTCAGTGGGTCCATATGGGGTAGAGTGTTTTCTAGATGTGGGACTGTAAAAGAAAGTTTTACTTCAGGCTTGTATTCACATAATAGAACACATGCTGTCTTGGTCAGCAGAGTGGTACACTGGGTCAAAGTAACTGCACCTCCTCTCGAAGGATGTCTTGGCAGCAGTGTGTTTATCTCTGTTCGAGTAAGAACCCTGACTGAGGAGAAACCTTAACAGTTCACAGCGCAGACTGGACCTTGAGCAATGAAAAGTCTGCCTAACCTCTGAAAGGATGGAGCACCAACCCTCTTCTTCTCTACTTTTAGTCACCTCTGATCATCAATGCACCGGAGTCATTAGCCTCCATGATCCCTTCGCTCTCCTGCTCTCTTCTTCTTTACTTCCTTTCAGGGCCTCACAATGAAGCCATTTGCATCCCTCCAGGTTGCTACGATACTCGGCCACCCCAACTTGAAATGTTTTGCCTTAGCTTTGAAGGTGGATTTCAAGAGGAAAACAGCTGCAGGAGAAGAAAAAAGATGCAGTGTATGTGGTGCTGAATGTGCTGTGTTTTCTAAGGTTGCAGCTAACTCAATCAGACTAACTGTTTTCGTTTATTTGGTGACATTTGAGAGGGTGTTTGCTTTCTTATACCCCGCCTTTGTTTGTGTGCATGGGTGTTTTTCAGAGTGTCTATATGGCCTAATGAGGCTGTTAGTTACTGTTGACTCCCTGCCATATGTGCATGAACACATCAGAGAGCCTCGAAGGCAAAGACTATTCTTTTCCCCTCACTCATAATGGTTTGCTTTTTAGCTGTGTCTGCAATGAGCATGCAACAAACTGAGAGAGAAAGAGAAAAATTCCTGCTGTGATGGTACAGATTAATGCACTGAAGACTGTAAGGCTTTGTTAGACGCTGATGCACACTTCAATTTCACAGGTTTCCTGAAGAATCTCCGTCAAACTGCACCATTTGTGTTTTATTATTACGCTTATTTCATTGTTTGTCCTCAGCAGATAGAGAGCCGTCATGTTTCAGACAGATTGTCCCTCCGGGGTAGTCCAAGTGTCAGGGGACGGGAGGCATAAATGAAGTCATACCACAAACATTCAAGCCTTATTACTGTACATTAGCGCTCCACTAAGTTCCTGTCCGCCTCAACATCCTCTGGGATATTTCTGGCCTTTGATGAAGCTCAACTGACGGCTGGCGAGGAACGCTTTCCTCCCACCTCTGTCACCTCTGCTCGGCGGAGCCTCCTGCATGGTGCTGCAGCGTGGCTTAGCGCTAATTAGCCCTGTGGAAATAAAAGACAGAGATCTACTTTCCACTGTGAGAGAATGCCGGTGCTAGATCAGGCTAATGCTAATGCTCGAGGAGGAGTTTTGTGTGGGGTGTTTTATGCCTGTCCTTGGCACGGCGTGGCAGGGTCCTGCTCCTTGCCAGGCGTGATGGTTTTTAGAGGTTCCTGCCAGGCTGTGCTCCCCTCCCGCACCCTCCTGCCCCATCCATCTTATCCTGCCTCTGTCTGAAATTCAATTGACCTTTTGTTCCACCTCACAGTGAATGGGCACAGGCCACTTCCACCAATAGCCAACCCAGAGCTCTCATACCTCTTTATTTGATCTGTCCAGCCAGTCCAGCGCTTTCATTACCTACCCAAACACCCACTACACACCCGCCCCCTCTCCTCCACACCTCTACCGCTACATCCTCTTTTATCTCTGGTCATCTCTCTTAGCTGGTAGGGAGGGGGGCAAGTGCATTTCAGGCAGTGGAGGTGATATATTTTAAAATCAGGAGAAAAAACTCTTTGTTCATCCTCCTCCTCCTCTTCCTCCTCCCCATGTTTTTGATCGTTATGGTGATTGGCTTTTATTTGTGCCTGCCTCGGCGTGTTTTAAACACAGCACTTTTTCTCCTCTTCTTTCCCTCAGAGGACTTTATTTCTGACTTTGCAGAAGTGCTGAGGTAGCTTCCCTGTCGCTCAGGGCAGAAGAGCTCTGAATTGCTGTGCTGTGACAAGGCCTGTTGTGACCGTGACCTGTCAATCATTTTGATCGTGGGGATTAGCAAATTGATCCCAACGGTCTCGTTCCAGCCTCTAATTACATCTTAAGTCAAACCAGCACCATTGTCTCAACTTTCCTTCATCTGACATCTCTTCCCCTTCATCTGGATTCTGTTTTAATTCCCCGGTTGCTTCGCTCATCATCGCATGCTTCTGCACCTTGCCCTCACCCCAGCATCAAAGTCATTAAATCCTTTCTGTCCCCTCTCCACCCCCACATGCTCTGTCTCTTTTCTTCCTCAGCTCTAACCTCAGTACAGGTCTGCTGCACTGTGATACATACTAAAGACCAACTTCAGCAGCTACAGCACCTCATGTGTGACCACCACCAATCAGAGCTTGCTGTCGTACAATGTGTGCTTTGCTGACTGTTGGACTTGGCATCCATATGATTGGAGTGTGTGTGTGTGTGTGTGTGTGTGTGCGTGTTAGTCCTGCTCTCTCAGCAGTATGAAACAGTAGCAATTTTGTGTTAATAAGACAAGGAGGGGACTATGAATTCCTGATAATGTCCTGTAAGGTGTAGGCTAAAATGACATTTTCTTTTTCTTTCTTTGATATTACACTGAAGATATGATTACCGTGTACAGCATATTTTAAAGCTGGAGAAACAAGATTGTCAAAAGAATTTATTATAAAACATTTTTAGCTAAACTTAAGGGGGTTTCAAGGCATCACCTTGTAAAATTTCTGACCACTAGAGGTGCTGGAAAGAGCAATGTTTTGTTGAGTCGGTCCCTGTATTGTTTTCCACATGCACCAAGCTCCCAGGACAATTCTAGGTTTTGTAGTCATTTTGTAATATAAGTAGTATTGCAGTTGAAATTGCCAAATGTCATGCGCAGGGGCCCTAAATGAATGACAAAAGGATCTGTACAATCACAATTACATTTTCCAAAATTTAAGCCATTAGGACAAATAAGAAAATATTTCAAAGAGCAGTATCAGTGTATTGTTTTATTGCCCTTTGAGTAAACCAGAGGTGGTTTCTAATGCACATTCTCCATAAGCCCAAAAATGCCGACAAGACTGAAGAACTTTTATGGTATATGCAGTGAGCAAGTTTCATCAGAATGAATAGGGCACCATTTAGTAACACGGTATCCAGTTATCTTAATGCATTTATGATATACACGCCATGAACAAGGATGCGATAGGCTACATATCTGTGCTGACTGCAGAGGGCAATATCAAGTGTGATGTCAATGCCACAATAGGAGAGAAATAAACGACTGCAAGCCGACATAAACATGTTTCAAATTTTTTTTTAGAAAGTCTGGTTGGATATTTTTTAGCCCTTGATGGCATTTCTGGTGAGAAACAGAACGTAATCAAAACTGTTCCGCTCTCTTGGAGGCACAAAAAGCATCAATCTTGAATGTGCAGCCTGTTGCATTGTTCTTTGTGGGGAGGTAGCAGGTCACCATAGGACAGCCAGCTGAATGACGGGGGCTACAGGCCGCGTGCAGCCATTGTCATAGTCTCATTCCATCATTAACAAAGAGAACATAGTAATGCTAAAACAGGCTGTAGCACCATTGTGCAGACTCCATTTACCCCACCAGACGCTTTAACCAGCTGACTATCTATTGTGTCCGGTCTGGTATGAAGCACGATAACAGCAAGTGTAAAGATAATCTAAAATTATCATAATCGGTTTGTGTGACCCTAAAGATCCATTTTGTAACATTTAGGAGGATCTATTAGCAGAAATTGGAATATAATATTTCGATAGGTATGTTTTCATTATAATCATCTGAAAATAAGAACAGTTGTGTTTTTGTTACATTACATTGAGTAATCTTTATCTACAGATAGCAGCTCTCCACACAGATGTTGAATTGCCATATTTCCAGAAAGGACAAACACTGCCTCTAATTAGGGCCTTTTGTGTTTTTCTCGAGTTTCATGGCCGCCATAGTTTTTCCCACATGCTTAGAAAGCTGAGCTGTACTCAAATGGTTGCAATTCGCAACTTCACCACTAGACGCCACTAAATCCTAAACACTGGTCTTTTCACGGATTTAATGTTATATTGGAGATGTTTTATATACGAATGTGTGTTACATCCATCTACACTATGTGACTAACATTTCTAGCAGTTGTAAGTGTAAAATTTGGTAATTTCTCACCAAACCTGTGAGTTTACTTGACACTAAATGTATGCAACAAGGGTGCTATTGCTATCGAAATGTTCAGTTCAGTTCAGTTCCGTTCCGGCTCCCAGGGGTGGCAGGAGGGAGGGTGCCCATAGCCACAGCCACATTTCCCAGAAAGCCCAGATATTTTTACAAGCCTCCTAATGAGAGCTGTAAGAGAGCAGGACCCGTGTAACTGAGCGGCTTGTGAAAGTACAGAGGCACCACTCTGCCTTCAAATTTGATCAAGGTACAGAAATGAAAAGCGAGAGTGGGGAGAGGCGTGTGAGTGCATGTGAATCTTGTACAGTCAGAAAAAAAATGGAAGATTTTAATGCAAGGACCATTTGCAAGAGAGACAGGAAGAGGGATGAGTTGAGAGAATTAAGGGGTTCAACCTTTAGTTTGGCCTTTGTGCTGGCATTCGATGTTGTTTCAAGATGATAATGGATTGTGTGCACAAGTCCTCCGGTCCTCAACCCACTATAATTCACTTTTGAGTTTGTGTGTGTGCGCTTGTCTGAGTAACCCCTCAACATTCCTCATGAAGCGCTGTGATAAAGGGAGGCCACAGCTTTGTGGAAGCCCAAGAGACAAAGATACTCAAATATGTGCACACAACTGTTAAGATCAAGACTCATTTGCATCTGCAGAGTGCATTCAAGCTGCAGCATGTCCTGGTTCATGTCACAGCCTCTGTTTTAATGGACTCTCCATGTATTAATGACCTTTAGATCACCTTCCAGGGATGTGCAGCATGTTTCTAATTGACAGAATAAGCCATATGGTTGGGATGAAGAACCTCATGGGGTTAAGCTGGTTAAAAACAAGTACACACAGGAATTTCTCAAAAGGCACCCTGACCTTATGCCATATGTTATTGTGTGTCCACAGGTTCATCTTATTACGACAATGTGAGGCCGCTGGCGTATCCTGATTCAGATGCGGTTCTCATCTGTTTCGACATCAGCCGCCCAGAGACTTTGGACAGTGTCATAAAGAAGGTCAGTGTTTTTTATTTCATCTCCTCCTCTCAACACTTTGGATCAGCATTTAATATCTGCTGTGACACTGGAGAACTAACCGGAAAAAATTCAGTTTTTCCTGATCAGCATCTTGTATCCACTCAGATTTCTGTGCCAGCAGCTTGCATTTTCACGGCTCAACAATAGAGCAAATCAGCACAGAGGTTAGAGCCTCTCATTCCTTTATCTCATCAAAATGTCCATGGATACTTGACCCTCGTCCCTCCGAGGAATGGAAGGTCAGAATGAAGAATGAGAGGAGAGCCTTTGCAGCCGGGTGGGTTCAAGAGGGATATCAGATACGCAAATTAGCCATACCAGCCATATCAATGAAGAGCTGCTGCAGAGCCTGTTCAGAACTAAAATTGCCCTTCTGTAGACATTTAAAATTTTAAATCTGAGATTTATACAGAACAGTTGGGCAGATGGTGGCACGTAACATTTGCAAGGTGGTGTATGGTTCAGATGTTATAGTAGTGGAGTTAAGATTGGGGTGGCGACTGAAGTGTGGTACTGGCCGGGCGGGGTTGTGGCCGTGGATGTGCTTTTACAGCCGGTGGCAATACCTATTGTATATGTAGAGACACCCAACTTAATAGGTTTTTTTGAGTGCATGTGTGTCATGTAAAACAGGCCTGTGCTCTTGTGGTCTCTCATCTTGAAGCCATGTGTGAGCGTTTGCCTTTAAACTGCGCTCCTTGTGTGCCAAAGACAGTTCCCATGGCTGGCCTGTTGACGTGTTTACTGGTCTGAGGGGAGCTGCTAAAATACCCCTGCAGACTTTGTAGATCTAACCCAAGACACCTTTTTTTAAACCCACAAATATCTCACAAGCCTCAGCGCACTCTGTCAACAGGGGGAAGCAGAGCTGCCGTCAAGCTTTTGGTTTTCCCATGAATCCCTTGGCAGGGGGTTGCCATGACCCCTGACTCCTGGCTGTCGCCCTAGTAATCTCTGAAACTCAGGGACACATGGAAAACCTGTTGCACAATCACCGTCCCAAATTAGACTCTTGACCTCTAGAAACAAGCGGGTCACCAAGGTTTCTGGATGACAGCTGAGGGAGGAGAGAGGGTTAAACAATCAAAGCTTTTGATTGGATGTTATTGGCAGAATAGGGATGGCTTGAAAGGTCAGAGGATGAATGGACACTCTGACATTCTGCACATGGCATGTGGAATATTTCAGGTCTGTCGGCTGCTGCTGTGTATTTGTGTCGCAAGGAGGACAGACTGTGTTGGTTCAGCTGAGTTTCAGAAGTGACATTTAATCTCAGGGTGATTTTAGAAGGGAGACTGCTCAACCTTTTCTGTGCAGAACCTGAAATAGATTTGTTGACGGGGGCTGCGTGAGGAAGGTATAACACACATGAGGTACTCCAGAAACCTGAACCAAGCTGGCATGATTAAAGTTGTCTTATTTTCATATGGTGCTTAAGCTAGTGTGATGGAACTTTAATTTTACAGTGAAACAGTGAACAGTGCATGGGATTATGAAAAAAATAAGATGTGCCTTTATTAACAATATTTTTACTTAAAGGTGAAATTATTAAAACAATTAATCATTTGATCGTGACAAATATTCTCTTGTACAGCTTCTCAGTTGAGAGGATTTGTTTTTATTTGACTTACATGAAAGTAAATTCAATATCTTTGGATTTTGTGCTAGAGTTTTTTATTTTCTGTATAAAATGACATGCATTATTCTCCCTTAAGCTCAGGTAACCAGTGTCAAAGTAGCCAAACATTGTCACTGTATCTCAGTAGCCCACCAGTCAGTACAGGCAGCTCTCATATTTGACAGAGTCAGTGATGTGTTTCTGTGTCTCTGTCGGTTCATGTCTCAACAGTGGCAAGGGGAGACGCAGGAGTTCTGTCCCAATGCCAAAGTGGTGCTGGTGGGCTGTAAGCTGGACATGAGGACAGACGTCAACACCCTGAGGGAACTCTCCAAGCAGCGCCTCATCCCTGTCACCCACGAGCAGGTGAGAACAAGTAGATGATGGAATGTGAGAAGAAAGGAGTGGGATAAATAATGAGAGACGGTGCCCCAGGAAGGAAGACAGACTTGAAAACAACAACGGATGCGTAAAAGAAATTAGAAAGCAATCCAGCGATTATATATGATTTTTCCATCTTGGATCAGCAGTGGCATTGCCTCTCTGGTGAATTCCCACAGGAAGGGAGTGTGAGAGGAGGCTCACGCAACATAATCAACCATCACAGAATAAGAGCTGTGTGAAACCCCTCGGGGACATGTTGCTGGGGTTGGCGTTTTGACCGAAATTTGCTGACAAGCGATGTAAGGTTGCTTATGGCAAGGGCTGCAGGAGAGGCACGGGCGGTTAGTGGAGTTTATGTCGAGGGACACATTTTTTCCCTGAAATGAAATATTCATGCAGATTTAGGGATTTTCAAAATGCAGGATGAATAGAAAAACGGACATTGATAAATGAGTGAGCCCTTTTATCGCATGCCGCCATGACCTCTAAGCCAAGGGGATGGGGAGAAGTGGGAGGGGATGATAAACTGTTCTGTAAATCTGTGAATTTTAATCAGCTTTCAGCGTGTTCATTTTGTGCTCTCCCGTGTTGGACATACAAAAAGTGGAGGGGCTTTTTCACCACCACACAAAAGCCCTCAGAACAAAGGAGCCTTTTTTTTCCATTGCTGTCTGAGAGCTCGCCGGAGGCTAAAAGCACACAGCCTCCAAAAAATCAGCAACTGAAAAAAACAGACAGTTCATGTAAATAAGATACATAAACAAAAGATAGAGTGGCAAACCACAGAGCTAATGTAAAATAGCTGGGGACAATTTGTGGCCAAGCCTACATTAAGCTATTGTTTTTCTCCTTCTCAGTCACTATTTTCATCAGAGGCAACTACTGTTTGCCGCTCTAACATGCCCACAAAATGTGTGTCACACAGCAGATGCTAAAGCTGTGCACAATAAACATTTAGGTGCTCTAATCCAATAGACTGTGTTGTTATCCTGTTGTTGATCTTAAATTGAATTCCAACACAGCTGAGGAGTCGCCGGCGAGAGTGACCACTGGGTGAACTCCAGACATTTCAGAACTAATCTGCCTGAGATCAGATCGAGCTTTTCCGCTCGTCACAACAATCTCTACCTCAGCCCCCTCGCACCGCCACCGCCACCCCTGAATCCCAAATCCGCCGTTCCACCTAATGAGGACTTCATTGCTTCTTATATGTGGCTCAGTGCACAGCCCGCGATAAAAATCAAACAACAAAGCTCTCTGTGTTGGAGGGCATGCGATTTTTAGGTCATGGGAAATGTGGCCCTGTCTCATCTGTTAGAGCATTTGCATGTGTCGATCCTGCGTGAATGTGGTTTTAAAATCTGATCATGAAACAAGAGACAAGACTGGACTGTAGCGAAGAAAAAGGCCGAGGGACTTCAAAATTAAATTTGTCTCTGATTTGATCTCAAGCAAACAATTTACGGTCTTAATTAACCGGGTATATTGTAACATTACTCAGGGGTAAGCTCTACTGATGCAGGAGTTTAGTCTCTTCTCTCTAAATAGCTGCATAGACCATGTCAACACAGGCCCAGTGGGCTCTGTGCTGCTCTGTGCTGCTCTGTTCCCTCTTGCCACAGACTGGGAAGTCAGAGCATCTACATTATTTATGCCTCAGATGAAGGAGCTTCTTTTGTCTCCAGACATCTTTAAGACCATTGATATTTTCTAGAATTTAGATCGGAATCTGTGTCTCAGACTGCTGCCTCTTTCTGGGACACATTTAGTGTTCTGCTGTTGAGATGTAATACCTGCTGATGCCAAATTACAATGAAGGATGGGATGCATATTGCTAGATTTCATTTTCTTTGTGAAGCGCTCACGCAGCACCTTGCTGTGGAGTAAACTCATGTCTAACTCCTCTAAAAACGTGAGGAAATGAGAAAAGACATTGTTTTGTCATGGTTGGGAATTGTATTAAGAAAGAAGCAAAAACACAAGACCACTGAAAACCAGTGAAAGGAGAAAAAGCACAACATAAATATATTTTTAGTAATTTTGTTTTGAAAAATATTGCTTAAATAAAGTTTCCCTGTCAACCTTCCTGTCTCTGTGTTCCAGGGCAGCACGATAGCTCGACAGATCGGGGCGGTGGCCTACGTAGAGTGCACCTCCAAGGTTTCAGAGAACAGCGTTCGGGACGTGTTCCACGTCACCACATTAGCGTCTGTGCGGCGGCCCCATAAGCCACAGCTAAAACGCAGCAGCTCCCGCAGAGGCCTGAAGCGAGTCTCGCAGCTCCCCCTGCCTCCCCTGCCGGGTCGGACTGAGCAAATGGACCAGGCCCCGGCCATGAGGAAGGACCGGGCCAAGAGCTGTGTGCTCATGTAGAGACCACTCATTATAAATATATATATGTATATACATAAACACAGAAATATATAACAGAGGAAGTCTATTTATTGTTTTTTGTTGTTGTTTTTTTCCTCGTATTTTTATTTTTTGCACTGCAGAGGAGTGAGGAAAAAAGAAACTGCGCTGTGGAAAGAAATGCTTTGGATTTTTTTCTTTTTTGTCGCGTGTGTGCATATTTTCTATGCTGTTTACATATTTGTGTTGCTTTGAAATGATGACAAATTGGACTAACCCTCTGGATATGAGGAAGCTGTGATAGTGGAAGTGCCGTCTAGTACCGGGTATTAAAGAGGAATTAATTTCCTGAAACCGCCCTAATAAGAGGATGGCAGCGGGACGATCGCGAGGAGAGTGAAGTGCATGTGAGGAGAAGCAGGACATCTGGGGATGAAGCTTATTGTTTTCAAAGACAGTGTTGCTCAGCAGACATGAGGACTAATTGTCTAGCTGCACTGTCTGAAGTGGCTTCCTGTTGCCATATTTGAGAGGAAAACCTGTATGTACAGTAATGCTAAAAAGGGATTCTAGTGATTAGATGATGGCTCAAACCAAACATTAGGATCCGGAAATGAGATGTTGTAACACTGAAATATTGTGAAGGTGTGTGTGAACATTACTACCACAAGTGCATTTTAGAAGAAAAAAAAAGAAGTCACAACATATCTGATTTTATTTTGCTCATTTAACACTATTTTGTCATCAACGCCAACTGTGTCAGTTTGACTCACTGAAGTTAATGCTGTTGTCACTATTTTAAAGATGTTTCTTTGTGGAAAATAAAGTGGTAAAATGTTAGGACTATTTTGTTGTACTTTCACTAAAGTAAAATAAAGCAACAGCTTGACTGTATAGGGAAAGGACAGAAAGTTTGATTCCTTTTTTTCACTAATGGCATCAGATGTAAATCATGTGATTATTACAGACTGCAACCAACTGTCTCATTATGCTAACATGGAGCAAATCAATTGTTCACAATGCTCAAACCTCTTTTCTCTACAACTTCCCATCCATCTGCTTTTCTCTACAAGCTTTCAAAATCCATATCTGTAAATAATAACTGTCCCTTTCCTGTGTTAATGTCATCTCTTTGCTCTCATGTTGCCCTGCAAGTCAAACAGCAATGCAGCCTGAAGAATGAGTCAGTCTTTTAAGGTAATGTGCCCACTGTGCAGACCTCTCAGCTGGCAAAAACAAAAACGTACTGCAATGCAGCAGCACCAGAGGACTGATGTAGAGTTTTAAATGACTGACTCCTTACTGTACAGGAGTTTCAAGTCTATTCAGTATGACAGATGACATGACATGTGAGCTCTTTCATCCGCAGAGAACAATTTGGCCATCCAGTTGATCCTGGCACTCCAGACCTTTCAAAGCTGTTTTTTCTGAGCTGTTTCTGTAAAACAGTCCATTGGTCAGTCTCAGTCTAGACAGTTTCTCTTAGGCAGCAGGACTTTCTGTCAGGAGTGTTTTTGCAGTTGGCAAGCTGCTGTATCCTGACAGCATTTAGGCGAGGTGAGAGTGGACAGCCCCATCTGTAAGTCAAAACACTCTGGCAGCAACTGAAAGCTTTACCTTTGTAACTGTCAGCGTTGTCTGTTAACTTAACTTTTGTTACATCCCTGGTGACATTAGACCATAGACAGGATGAGCTCAAATGATGGATGAAATGTCAGAGAAACTAAAATTGATGAAAAGAGAAACAAGCTAAGACAAGAAACAAAAGGGGAAGTGACAGAGAGCGTGTGGGGGAAGTATATTTATATTTATGTATTTCCACCTGAAATATATCTTTTGACTCATCTGCTTTAGACTTGAAAAGTGACTCTGAAAGGTTTCCAGCTTGTTCCTTTGCAGGGGACAGAAACTGTCGATTGGAATTTAAATTAAAGCTGTTACAATGGATTCACAATGAAGTTATGGCAAAAGGGGTGATAAAAATCTATTAAAATGTCTTTGGAAACTTCTGAAGCCACTCCTGTAGCATAATATTTTCCACCACCATTGATCCGTACAGTCAGTACATTCTAGACCAGTGGTTCACTACCTGGGGTTTGGGACCCACTAAGGGGTCGCAAGAAGGTCATTCATTGGCAAAATAGCTAGACAAAAACATAACTGGATTTTCTTTTTTATGTAAAATACAGGAGAGGTTAAGTTGTTGACACTTTGAAAAACTGGTTTAACTGCTCACAGCTCATGCAACCTGTGCAAAAAGGTAACCTTATCGCTTTGCCAACTAATCATTAAATGACTGCTATTCTTAAAGCTACTTCGGGGCAATAGGGCATACATACATACATACACAACATACTGTATCTTTGCTGTGGTGAAACTATTAGTGTTTGAAACAAACTGAAGATATGGATCAGTGATGGAGATGTGGGTTATCCTGCAGTAGTGGATCCGTGCAAATCCAAGCTACTGCACCTCTCTGCACAAGAGCAAGCAAGAAACTTTCACAGCCAGGTTTTAAGCCTACAGGGATGTGAATATTTGATACCAAAATATTTTAAGTATTGTATTCCTTTTAGCAGAAAAAATGAGGTGGGACATGTTTTAGATGGACACAGGAGTCACAGAGGAGCTGTAGGGAGGTGGTGCCTAGGGCAGGAAATGAGCAGTAGAAATGAGGCCAGCACCCACAGCAGGGGCACAAGACCTGCTGTGCCCCTACAGTTCGGACTGACACTTGGAGAGGATTAGTCTTGTGGTGCCAGTGTTTGTGTGTGTGTGTGTGTGTGTGTGTGTATTTAACATAGGGGGCATTGGGCAGCACCGTCTCTTCTGCACTGGCCTGCATTTCGCCATCAGCCTTTATATCCATCAAATAAAGCAGTCACCCAGACGCTGATACAGACGTGTACATCTTGCCAAGATGAAGACAAATCAGCTGCTGCCTTGTTTGTAAAATTAGACTGCCATCAGAGTTTATCTCGACAATCTACTCCCACTCACAGGCAGGTTTATTACTGCAGGATGTCTAGCCTCAATTTCAGCAATCTGATCATCCGTTTGCCCTTTACCGCTGAGACGCCGGGAGGATTAGAAGCACCTTTGTGGGTTCACGCTCTGATTCTGCATTCTTGAATTTCCCTTCGATTGTATGCTACTCCAAGTGGCTCTGACGAGCACAGAGAGCCCAGTCATCTTATCCCTGAACGACTAGACCTGACGTCATCTACACAGGAAGTACACAATCTCAGACGTTCTTGGTTAATTACTACAATTTGCAGATGGGGTTGTGTCCCCGGAAACGGCAGAGACAGAGCGATTGACAGAGACACACTGAGGAGCAGTGATGGACAGTGAGAGAGACAGAGAGAGACAGTACTTGGCCTGCCTGCTGACAAAAGGCTACAGAGCAGAGCCACAAATTGCATAGAGTCATGAGAGGATTTGTAATGAGGAGAAGTATGTGACCAAGCTGAACTCACACACACAAACACACACAAACACACACAAAACACACACACACACACACACACACACACACACACAGGAAGCCGGCCAGAAGAATTGTTGGCGTCCACAGATTGTCAGACTGCGGGAATTGACCATCGACGTGTAACATGCATCTTGAAGAACTGGCGCTGTCAACGAGCATATTAATCTGGACTGCCTCTCCGCTTGTATACCTGCTTAAGTTTCAAGACTTTATTGGTTTCCTGGTTTCCCCAGCCCAGGATTTCAAGTTCAACCAAAACGGGATAAGGGAACCAACCTGGCCGCCTGCCGCTGAGGTGGTTTACCAGTGGAAAACACAGGACATGTGGAGATTAAGTTGTATCCGATCTTGTTGGTTGGCTTTCTGGAAAACTAAGAGCCTGCCCCGTCTGCTAATTAAATGTGGTGAGTGTGTGATTATCATATAATTTGTCGGCGGAGTGTGTTGTGCACGGTATGGTTCTTTAGTCCGGTGAGACATCTGTGGTGGTCTGAGATTGGGCAGCGCGAGCCAGTCTATGGATTACAGGGGAAGAATAGTTTCTTGAATGTTGTGATAACATCACAGAGCACAACAGGGAGATACTTGGACTGGGCGATGGCTGAATCGAATTGTACTTGATAATTGTTTAGGCACTGATCTGGTTTGTCCATCATGTGTTTTCAGGGGTGTGATACCACACCATACACGTATTAACCTCTGGGATACCCGGAGGGTTGTGGTGCGTTTAGTTGTGTGACTCAGCTGTGCGAATGGAGTCTGATTAAGACGAGAATAGGGATTGGAACTTAGGTTTTGAGCAGCAATGAATATTTTCAATTCAACGAGGTTTTTAAATTGAGTCCACAGGCTATAGGACATCTTACGGAGGCGTCCATGGAAAATAGACCAGCTTTATCTGTTGAATGAGGAGAAGAAGAAAGAATTTTGAGGTATTCATTCAAGTGTTTACATGCAGCCACAGTCTTAGGGAATGGACAGGCTGGTTTTTTTCCCCCTATTAGTAGTAAAAAACAAACTAGCATTTTCACCTTGAACACAGTACTTAATTAGTTGATTAATTGTTTTTTCCAACAACTTATGGTGATACCTTGAAAGAACCATTGTGGGATGCCTACTGGACTTATAACATTGGAGCACACATGGACTGACAATTTTGTTGGTTTTGGGAGGTGCAACACCAGGCAAGTCAAAATATCTTCACTATATCCTGTGAAATGAGTTGGTATGATCCATCTAATGCTCCCAGATGATGTATGTCTTAAAGACGTTCGGAGTCTGCTTGCACTTTATCCGGAGCAGCCACTATGTAAGGTTGGCTCTCGGTGGTTGTTGGAGTGAAGAGTGTCTCGGTACAATGATATTAGGAAAGTTAGACAGACTAAAACTACATTTTCGGTACACAAATTCACGTCCTCGTCGCGAATGAATGTAAATCACTTGAACTTTTCATCTTAGAGCCATCAAAGTTTTAGTTTGTTCCGAGTTACTTTGGTTTATTGGACACAAGAGCTACCCATAGGCGCTAATGGGTAAAAGTATATCCTTGCTAAC